TGAAGAATTTTTTGAAGTTCAAAACCGGAGAAAACAGTCCAGATTTAAGGAAATTTGGAGAAGAATATTACCTACGAGAAGCTAAATTATGGCGTCCTTTTAGAATTGGAGGGATAGTGTCAATAGGATTAGCATTGCCGTTCTCAATGGGATCAATTTTCAACGCCTACTGGCTGTACGGAGAAGGTAATTATTTATTTATTAATATCACAATAATCGTTTTTTACATACATAATTCTGGTTCTCTATTGTTCGAGATCATTGCATAATTGAACAAAACAGAAAGTACTAAATATACGTACGTGCGCTTGTGACGTAGACTACATGTACTCTAACTGTACATTTTTCAAATATTTTCAACACACTTTACTTTCTCAACTTTATTCTTACATGCGATTATCATAACAGATTTGTTATCTTTTATTCGCATAGAGTATATTTAATATATAGACCCTTCGTAAACGTCTCTATTTAAACGTCACATATTAAATTATTATTGTAAATAACTGTATTTAATTGTTTCTTTTTATAATATTTATTTATTGAATTTAAATGACTTGACTTTCCTGTTTTTGCAAAAGCTTAACTTTTTTAAACCGTACAGTTTGTCAATTGGTTGTGCTTTAATTTGTATACATATAAAGAGACGATCAAAGCGGACCTCAATGAAAACCCCCATCAACACGTTAACGCAATCTCGGTAATGATATCACAGCACAAATCGATAAATCGATACGTTTTACAGTCTGCCTGCTAACATGTGAATCAATATTCTGTCTTAAACACAAAACAGAGGCTAAGCGCTAAATCTAATTTTAAATGATTGTCTTGGATACCAAGGCACTTGCAGTTGAATATTCCGTCAGAATAGTACGGAAACAGCACGTTATCTTAATCAAAATGGTAATTAATATTACAACTATGGGATAATATTCTAACTATGTATTAGACAACATTCAGGAAAACAACTATAATAGACTGTATAGTGAGGCAAACACTGTTATAGGAAAATGCAAAAGTAAACAAATGCAGTAAATGAATAATAATAGTTTATATGATATATTTGCAAAGTATTTTCAATTTTGCACATGAACAGTAATGCAATACACTGCCATACAATATTAATGATAATTTTCACATGTTTTATTAGTTTATTACTTTCACTGATTATTTTCACAGGTTTTAATGCAGGAATGTGGGATAGCTGTTACCAACCACTTAATTTCACAGTCAGAATGTGTCCAGAGAAAAGACCTCGTAAGCCTTTTAAGAAAACTCGAATAATGGGATTACAAGGGGATCGAAAGAACTGAAGGAAACGATTAAGTTATTCGGCTTATCTAAGATAGAATTATTAAATTTCCGTTTATATCCGTCCTATACAGGTCCCTTTGCTAACAACACAGGACATTAACTCAAATATCACTTAACTTTATGTCCATTCATTATCATTTTAACACGGTCTCCAATGCTTCTTGTGTACACGTCTCAAACATCACTTAACTTTGTATCCATTCATTATCAATTTAACACTCTCTCCAATGGCTTACCTTTGTATCCATTCATTATCAATTTCACACGGTCTTCAATGGCTTACCTTTGTATCCATTCATTATCAAGTTAACACGGTCTTCAATGGCTTACCTTTGTATCCATTCATTATCAATTTAACACTGTCTCCAATGGTTTACCTTTGTATCTTTAACACGGGCTCCAATGGCTTCTTGTGTAGTCGTCCACTTGTAGTAACGAAGGACCGAATCAACGAAACAAAGTCTTAATGACACTTTTACAACGTTAGTAAATATTATTGAAAGTTTATTATCTAATGTGTTTGTAGTTATTGTAACTCGTTCCTGCCCCGCGCTTGCACGATATTTTATAGCCTATACGAGATCAACTTATGTTCTATCGAGTTCCATTTTCACCAACATCCGTACATTAATCGATTCCGTTTCGGAGCTACTTTCCGTCCCTACGTGCAGCATATTGGACATAATAAAGTGCTCCATTCTAACAGAAATCTAGTGGCTAAGAGTACTCGAGTTATGTTGATTTATATCAGATGATTAACTTTCATTAGTATTTTTAAACATGGTGTACACAAAACAAAACCATCTTCATTCACACATCTCATCATCTTCATTCATAAATCATTTAATTATTTTATATTTATGTTTGATAGTTTTGTTGAATTTAGCATGTTCGTGTTTGTTGTTGTTGTTGTTGTTTAATCGTCGTTTTAGCAAAGAACGAATTTTATGTTTGTGTCGTCTAGTTTGTGGATGTCGTACAATACACTGGCAGCAGTCTGATTAAAACCAGCCCCCACTATCCACTTGCGTTTGTACCCTGTACCATACAAACGTAAGTGTATAGTGGGGCTGGTTTTAATCAGACTGCACTGGCAGCAAAATACAATTTCCTTTCGTCTGAATGAAGGTTTTGCAAAGAATAACAATTAACCATTAAAGATAATATTTCAAAATAAACTTGAACAAATAGGTTTTTTTATTTGATGAAAACTTTGTGGGGACATATATTTTCCCATTGATATTAGTATTGGGGAGCAATTTCCCCCATGCATTGCCTCCCCCTTCAACCCTTCTCCGTCGCTGCGTGTAAACCGTAATAGATCCCCGAAGATATTGATTGTCGATCTACTTTGAACCTTTAGAATCAACTGAGGTATTGGAAAATTGTCATGCCATCCATCCTATCCGGCAGTTAAATCTGTGTCAAAGAACGTTTGGTTGGAATGGGGACGTAAAGTCCGAGGCCTCGTGTAGGGAGAATGTCACCCTTTTTGTACGTAATGTAACACTTGCAACAACTCTTTGAGGTGCTCGTCTGTAGGTTGCTTGTTGCAGGGCAAAAACGTACCTTCATTTTCAATTGGCAATCAAAATGTTCGACCATCATTCCAGACGACCAATTGTGCAGAACCTATCCTTTGAATTTATAATTGTTGACCCTTCTTGTCCTGAATAAGCATGAACTATTTGTCACTGGACGTCAAGGAAACGGCAACCAATCAATCGTGATCTAATTTAAAACAACTAATTAGTTTTTGCAAATAATGTTGAACAGTTTTTATAACGTACAGTAAGCGTATTCATTAAAATTATATAATCTTACAATCTGACATTTAAAATGTTTTCAGATCAGGAAGCTGTATAATATCAGACGTTTAATTGCTTCGATTGTCATGATACTGATCATATATCCCATTAAACATAGTTAAATTATTAAATCAAATTATTGATTTCCGGAGTTAATTATAAATTCTGTTTGTATTTAGCATAAAACCTACAGGAAGTATGTATTGGTTTATATTACAAGTGATTAAAACGGCCATTTTGATCTGAAGCTGCGCATTAAAAATGCGAGATCTTGTTACATCTTTTTTTTTATAGTTTCAATAGTGTAAGCATATTTTCAATATACCCAAAATCTAGTGAACACTTTTCGGGAAAAAGTTATCGTCAATTTCCATTAACAATGTGTCATTTTAACTTATGGGGCCCCTAGTCCCAAAGTGAATGCAACCTAGTGGAATATGAATATTAAAGAGACTTATTAATATTTGTGCAGGATTCAGAGGCAGATTAAGGGGGACTTAGACCCGCCTTGTTGAGCTACATATCTGGGTAATTCATGGACTTTTTGCAAGTCCCACTGCTAACGTTTATCGTGTTGGTACCACCCCCTTCTCCTTTTTCAAAAATCTTTGATCCGCATCTGGGACTTTGCATTAATTGTTTTATATATGATATTCAGCGCTATACATCGCTGTTGAAGACAGCTTTATAATTGATCAAAAAATGCAAATGTAGGTTTGTCTGATAATTTGTATCATAACACAAATATTCTTAACCAAAATCAAATAATTTGTATCTGAAAGACAAAGCATAGCTTTATTGCAGGTAGAACTTTGGTTTTTGTTTTTAAAAAATCCATTCTCATTCATTTTTGTGGTTAAATATTTGAAATTTGCATGTTTTTTCAAAATTCCAATATTGAGTCATCTTATTTTTGACATTTATAATTAGGCCACATGTTAAAGAACAAAACAATGGTGTTACAACCTTAAAGTACAAATATACAGCTGTGATGGTGTAAGTCAAAGATTGAAGGATTTTTGGCCCAAGTTTATATACAGCTGTAATGGTGTAAGTCAAAGATTGAAGGATTTTTGACCCAAGTTTATATACAGCTGTGATGGTGTAAGTCAAAGATTGAAGGATTTTTGGCCCAAGTTTATATACAGCTGTGATGGTGTAAGTCAAAGATTGAAGGTTTTTTGGCCCAAGTTTATATACAGCTGTGATGGTGTAAGTCAAAGATTGAAGGATTTTTGGCCCAAGTTTATATACAGCTGTGATGGTGTAAGTCAAAGATTGAAGGTTTTTTGGCCCAAGTTTATATACAGCTGTGATGGTGTAAGTCAAAGATTGAAGGATTTTTGGCCTAAGTTTATATACAGCTGTGATGGTGTAAGTAAAAGATTGAAGGATTTTTGGCCCCAGTTTATATACAGCTGTGATGGTGTAAGTAAAAGATTGAAGGATTTTTGGCCCAAGTTTATATTATGTTCACTGAAAAATTGGTCCTTTTTTGCAGAATTTAGTGTATATCAATAACTGTACATTCTGAAAATGGACTGTTCAAACTCTTAGTTGATCGCAATCGAAGCGTGTGAACATATTGAATTTACCAGGATTTTTTTGGGAAATATTTAACAAGATTTGATCCTTTATTTCTTGATATTAGTTTTTTTTTTTTGCTTTTGAGAGTTTCATTTCAATATTACTTTACTAATGTTTACCAGACAAGTATATATATGGCGTTTTGTTTTTTATAGTTCTATACTAATTCTTATAAAAATAAAGAACATTGAGACTTATACAAATTGTTTTCTATACTTTATTCTAGCAAAGTAGCGAATCAATAAATTGATCTTTGAAATTAATGTTAAACCTGATGATTTTTATTTGTAGATTGGCAGAATGCTGTGATAGGGTTGATGATATTTGCTGCATCAATAGGCTTTCTGGCGGCCATATTGGCTGTGCTTGGTGTTTGTACATCGCCTTTACCAAAGAAAATTTATTACTTCCATTCAGCGGGGGAGATATTTCTCGTTTGTGGTATGTACTAGTAGTTATTGAGTTAAAAGTGTCGATACAATTTCGTATTTTAGATTTGCCAGCTGTACTACTTGAGTGTGTACTTCGTACTTCAGTGTGTACTTGAGTGTGTAATTTGCAGTGAGTTGAGTGTGTACATGAGTGTGTAAATATACTTGAGGGTGTATTTCCTTCTTGAGTGTGTACTTCATACTTGAGAGTGTTATTCATACTTGAGTGTGTACTTTATACTTGAGTGTGTACTTTATACTTGAGTGTGTAATTCTTACTTGAGTGTGTACTTCGTACTTGAGTGTGTACTTCGCATTTGAGTGTGTAAATGAGTGTGTAATTCGTACTTGAGTGTGTGATTCGTACTTGAGTGTTTACTTCGTACTTGAGTGTTTACTAAATAGAACGATAATGCTTGAGAAAATTCATAACATAGCTTTCTATGGTGTTTATAAACAAGATTTACTTACACGGTTTACACAGTTAAAACAGTCATCGTTTACATGAAAATTTTTGTGTAAAAATATGCAGTTTTACCGTAACGTTGCTCCTTCATGACATATGCCTTGTTTACTATAAACAGAACAGTCAAAAACACAGGGAGAAGTATAAAACTAGGTCAATCAATAAAAAATATCAATTCCAACCCCCTTTGTCTTTAAATATGCGGTATCTGTTTTTTGAAATATATATTTTGGCCTCATTAAGCTTCGCTCAACACATTTACTTAAGTATACATTAGTTACAGATAATCCAGAAAAGCGGTTCGGAAGCATTGTCAATTTTTTACTTGGAAATACTTTTTTTGGTTTAAAATCAAAAATGATAAGGCCTCGCTGCACTCGGACAATTATGCGCCCCTCATTTTCTATGACCCTATGACCCTGGATCTGTCCCTGATTGGTATGCTTTTATATATTCATATTTCAATAACATCAAAAGAGCTTAGGGTAATTTTCATATCATATCATGCTCTGTTAAAATACTGTATTTATAATAATAAAGATGATGATGATGGATGGCTGCTTAACTTCCAGCGGCAAATGAATATGCATATTCAGGACGATAACATGTTAATGTCATGTGAAAACTAACCCGGCTTAGTACTAGACCGACACGCTGAGACGGATTTTTAACGTGCTAGTTCACAAGGTCCGCAGGAAGACATGTCACTTTACCCGGACACATTATTCTGACTCCAAACCAACCAATCTTTGCTCTAACTCCTTAATGCTGCGTGCTTAGCGGAGAACCAGCAAATACCAATTTTAAAGTCTTTGGTTTGACCCGGCCGGGGTTCGTACCCACGACCCCCCGCACTCGAGGCGAACACGCTACCAAGAGACCTAGGCAGTTACAATAATAATGATAAATAAATTATTATTATATGAAACATAGTATCAAAAGCACTGTTTTGTTGACGCCTACGTTATATGTACCAGGTTCTAAAAAAACATTGAAAATTGGCCTGTTTTCATTGCCTTTCTTTGAAAATCAAAATTTGTGCTATTTGTGTGACGTAATGAAGAGAACACTAATAGTACGTAAAATTTCAACAAAAAGACATATTTCCTATCTAGTAATCATTTTAGCTATAATCCATTGTGATATTCGCCAATAAATCTAAATTTGAAATTATAGCTAGATGTGGTCATAGGAGGTCCTCATCGTCTTTCCGTCCGTCCGTCCGTCCGTCCATCCATACGTCCCATTTTTTTCCGTACTCTAAGATAAGCAAATTTTCTGAAACTCATACACATTGCTAAGCGCCAAAACTCGCAGACAGCGTTCGAATTTGGTAGTGAGTCACCTACGGTTCTAGAGTTATGCCCCTTTATAACTTGGAAAATTAGATTTTTTTTTCCGCACTCTAACTTAAGTTTGTCTCATCCAAATTTTATGAAACTCATATACAATGCTAAGAACCACACCACGCAGACAGAATTTGATTTTGGGTTGTGAGTCATTTACCGTTCTATAGAAGTGCCACTTTTTTACTCAAGTTGAAAAATTGCAAAGCTTGAGCGGGTGCATTAGTATCCTCAGACACATTCTTTTATTTTATCAATATTTCTTTTAACAACTTAAAGATCTTTTTTTCAGCAATGGCTGCTACAGTTGCCTTGGTGATATATCCAGCTGGAATAGAAATGGACAAAAGCATAGCAAGTCACTACTACGGATCAGGCTACGGACTCGGCTGGGGAAGTGCCTTCTTTTTTCTTTGTGCAGCACTTTGTATGAGTTTAGATGACTTAGTTCGAGAATCTGCAAAAGCAAAATGTTGCAGGTTATGTTTTAAACGAGATCGATCAGATGGCACGGAATCACAGCAAGTTTGAAATGTTTATAAAGCAACATTACTAGCTTACACGTAAATCCCATGGTGTGCTAATAGCACCCTCATTTCTCGGGCCAAGAAGACGTCACATGCTGGTTGAAAGATACAACGGAAAGATAAATCACTCATGTGTTGCAGCTCGAAACATTTCACTGAAGCCTATACATGTTGGGATGTACACTGAATATGGATCTTTTGGCATCCATTTTACTGAGTACGTACGCTTCTCTCGCGATGTATAAATGCAATTTCGACGATTATTTATGAATCAAAATTATATCTACTTATTTATTTAGCATATTTTGTCATCATATGAATATGTCCCACCTACATTTATTGTCCATGTTATTTTATCAATACTGTAAATTCAGAAATTATTGCGATGTTTTTATAATTGCGAAAAATGCGACAGGGTTATAATCGCAATAATTTAAACTCGCATTTTGAAATTTTTTATATGAATTAAACAGGATTTTTCTCAATATCGCAAAAATTAAAATCGCATTTTAGTCTAAAATGATAAAATCGCAATAATAAATGCGCGTAATAATTTCTGAATTTACAGTATTTATTTTTCTTCCAGCAACTAATATTTAAACACCACTTAAGCTTATTGCACCCTTTTTAAAGTTTTTAGCAATATAAGAGTATTCACGTCCTATCGATTTAATATCTAATTAGACCGACTGATTTGTATATTTGATATGAACATTCCTTGTTTGATATAGCATCTGTGTTTCATTAGAAAAGTTTGATCTGATAATGACGAAGGGAAAACAAAGTTTAACACAACAAAACAATTGAACAGCTATCAACATGGGGTCGTCTAGACTTAGACTTCATGAAAGCAAGGACATACAAAACAGCACTTAATTTCCACAAATCTCGTAAATAAAGTGGATATGCATAGGTTCCGAGAAACTTCACCTAGGTTTTAGGTGTAGAAAAGTAGGTTACACAACTTTTAAAAGAGTTTCAAAATGTTACAAAGAGCTTATGCTTACTAGTATGCCCTGAAATTATTTCACCAGCAGGATTATATTTGAAAAAGGTAAACTGATATTTTCAACAATATTCATACTAGGCTAAGTCCCAAGTTTGCCCTATTCCAGACAATTTAGTTAGCCTATAAATATATTGAAACCAACAAATATCCGTCATGCAAAAACGAAAAAAATGACTTCCCTCAGAGTGTGTAGACAATAGGGAATCCTTTTTGTTTTATGAATTCATTATTATTTAAGTCCTCAAACGACACATTTTAAATATTGTCAGAGTCATGATTGGTTGAAATTCTTTTATTTAAGGATGTCAGCTGTCCGAGGTTAGCTGCTGACATTCAAAATAAAATATATAACATTATCATGAATTACCTCTCTCTCGACATTAAGATAACTTGTGAGACCTAGAATAAGGGAAAAAAAAATATTCTTATTGTAAAGATACAAGCATTTGAAAAAAAATTTGGCGAGAAAAACGTATCTCTGAATTTGTTTAATGAAATGTGAGGAAAGAAATGAATGCTTTACTACGTGCACTTTCTGTACAAAATATTTTATAGAAATAACAAGAATTTTAAAATAGTTAACCAGAAGCATGTTTGATAATGTACATTTCAAATAGCATGGAGAAATATAAGGGTTGCTAGGAAATATGTGTTTAATGCATATGCTGATGGTTTGGATGGGGTTTATAGAAAAGGAAATAATGGGCCTATACTACAGAAACATGGGCCAAAAAATAAAGAATAGAGAATAATGGGTGCTAATATATAAAGAGTAAGGAAAAAATAAGCAAAACAGATAATGAATAGAGAAATGAATGACCCATCCAGACCCTCATATTGTAGGGAAAAGGCAGAGCAGTCACAAAATATTGCGAAACTTTTCATAAAAAAGACAATCTGCAAAGGTAAATATGTACGTGTTCATTTAGGGTTAATTTGATAGATAATATACATTTAACCGATTAGGAACAGTAATTCATGTCCCCTTGCAAATGTGATACGTGCATTTTAAAAAGAAGAAATATTAAAATACACACATAAAAGTCAAAACGAAATTTTTTGGCTTGAAATCTCCTTTACCAGAAAAAAAGAAATCCAAAAAAATCTTTACAAAGTAAGTTTGTTTCCATTAGGATATCAAATCCAAAACTGATTTATTACATCTATATGGATGATTTCGCTTGATGTAGTTATTACACATTATAAATGTTTAGAATCCTACAATATGCTTATGTTTGGTAAGCTCAACAGTATTCCATGTTAACTATATTTGTGATGAATGTTTCTGGATGTATTGTGTGTTTTTCAAATTCAAATGTTTTTCCACTTGTTGAACTTTTACTATTTGTACACAATAAATTTTCACTCACTTTTTGCTGTCTGATTTGTTAAACCCTTCTATTTATATATTTAGCTCACATGGCCGAAAGGCAAAATGAGTTTTTCTCATCACTTGGCGTCCGTCGTCTGTCGTCGTCCGTCGTTAACTTTTACAAAAATCTTCTTCTCTGAAACTACTTGGCCAAATTTAATTTAACTTGGTCACAATCATCATTAGGGTATCTAGTTTCAAAAATGTGTCCGATGACCCCGCCTGTCAACCAAGATGGCCGACATGGCTATAAATACAACATAGGGGTACAATGATAGTTTTGTCTATTATCTTGAAAACTGCTATAAATAGAGATAATCTGATAGGGACAAAAAGATTCAGAATGTTGGAGATCTACCTGATGGATGTCTGTTTACGTCAAAACTGTCAGACTTCTTGTAGGAGTTATTGCCCTTAAATGTCAAATTTTACTAATCTTTTTTTCATTTTTGCTCATTATTTGAAAATTAATAGATAGAAAGAAACTTTAATAAGAAAAAAATATAAGAAAGACAAGATCTACAAATGAATTAACATTGGAGTTATTGCCAATTAATAACAATTTTTACCATTCATTATTAATATCTTACAAAAATCTTCTCCTCTGAAACCACTGGGCCAAATTTAACCAGTCCGGCTAAGTAGGCATTTCTTCATTACTGGCTATTGTTCACAACATATATATTGATAAATTGATAGCTGGTAACTTAGTAATTATCAAGAAATACAAGGCTTCCTAAAAGTTGTAAGCAACATTAAACTTTACTTTTGTTATACGAATGACAGAAAACGTTGGGAATGCATATATTAGTGAAACAACAAACCAATGCTGGCGTTAAAGCGAAAGTCTGTTTACGAGGAGTCTAGCAATACAATGACGTACATACATGATGTTTAGATACTGGAAACTCAACGAATAATGTTTAATGTTCTATTGATAACTATTTTCGGTGCACATTGATTTTTGGTATAGAAATCTGATTATATATTTGTTTCCAACTTATGCATTACACGACAATGTATTTTAAATTTTGACATTTTGGAAGGCATTGAGCTACTACATAAACACAATCAGATCGACAAGATCGTTGATAGATATACAATATATGTACATTGTCGGAAAATATAAAATTTATTTGTATGAGCTTTAGAAACAGGACGAAAAGCGACCTGTTTCGTAGCGAGTACATATAAATTTTATATTTTCCGACAATGTACATATATTGTTTTTATCCTGAAATTTGTACCCAACACTTGAAACTTTAGTTATTAGAATCTAAATCATTGTATCTAATTTTTCAAAGAAATCGACATAGTTTAAACGCGGACCGCGAAGAGGACCCAAAATGAACTGTTACGCAAAAAGAAGGAGACTTTATTTTTAGAAGTACAAATAAAACAAAAAAATATTTGTATACCTGTTATTTGTACAATAGGTGGCTGATTGCAGGATAAATTGATTTATTGTTTGTTTAACGTCCAGTGGCAAATATTTCATGCTAAAGAAGGACGAGTATCAACAAAGAATTCGATAAAATTAGCTTTATGAATATTTAGGGAGGATAGTTAAAAGTTATATGTTGAAATGACGCCTGACGAAATATTTATATGTTGTTAGTCGACATGAGACTTAAACTTAACAATTCGTAAAAATAAATATAAAATGCTTAACAATCTTGCAATTTTTCAATCCATTCAGAAGATTGATCAAAAAGATGATGATACCAAGCCGCAAAAAAAAACAAAAAAAACATGAGGCAAAATTGTACACAAAAAGAAAAAAGAACAAAAAGACAAAAATTGTACGTCAAAAGAAAAATGAACAAAAAACAAAAAAGGCAAATTGTACGCCAAAAGAAAAATGAACAAAAAACAAAAGGCAAAATTGTTCACCAAAAGAAAAATGAGCAAAAAGCAAAAGACAAAATTGTACGCAAAAAAAAAAATGAACAAAAAACAAAATGCGAAATTGTGCGCCATAAGAAAAATGAACAAAAAAAAAAAAAAAAACAAACAAAAGACAAAACTGTACGCCAAAAGAAAAATGAACAAAAAAAAAAAAAACAAAAAAAAAAAAAACAAAATTGTACGCCAAACGAAAAATGAACAAAAAAAAACCAAAAGGTAAAATTGTAAGTCTAAAGAAAAATGAACAAAAAAAAACCAAAAGGTAAAATTGTAAGTCTAAAGAAAAATTAACAAAAAACAAAAGGCAAAATTGTGCGCCAAAAGAAAAATGAACAGACTAACAACAGACCACAAAACATTACGCAGATTACTAATGATTTGAATAACACGTATTACTCGTGCAATCTAACGACATTCGATCAGAGCAAACAATGAAACAAACAAAAACAATATCCAAATCAGTACCCGAGCGGGTGTGGTTTTTATTACGACAAAGAAAAACAGATGAAAACCGTAAAGAACCATTTTTCTGTTACTCGGAATGAAAAGAATGATTCTATTATATCTGTAAGACTATTTTATGTTTTTAATAGAAAAGTCTATACCTTTAACAGAACCTCGATTTTCTTACAAGTTAAATTCTTAACATTTGCCTCTTTGTGAATTATTTTCCTTCTTAACATGCAAAACCTTTAACTCTCACATCATTAGTTTGACGTTTTTTTTTTAATTTATCGTTGATAAAGGATAACCATGAAATAAAGTAACAAACGCTGTGCTATGATTGGGTGAAGCTTATGTGGGGTAAATATTGCGGAGACCGTATTAATATCTGGATAAAGTTACATGACGTCACAGAAAACCCCCGCTTGAAGCTCATGATCCGCTACTGTGCAAGGCTGCTTATGAAGTCTTTACGCTAAACCCGTTGTGGTGTATACAAAAATATATATTTCAGTTTTATCTCATATCTTAACTGACGTCTTGAAATTAGCAACGAGGATCTGTTGAGAACAAAGCCTTACAACAAAAGAGATACATGTAATCACAACTTTCCAATTGTAAACTTTCCATTTTTATGTAGCAACATTTTAGGAGCGCAATTATATGGAGTAAATATCTGCCAGTTGATTCGATATTCAGGAGCATACGTTTCCTGTGATGATTTCCTTGATAGAGGGTTGCTGCTTACAAAGCAGTAATGGAATCAAGGGTTTCTAGTGGCAAAGTTGAAGTACTCTTTTCGAAAATTTTACGGGCACCATCATGAGTTCGAAGACCGTTGTGGAATTGTCGTAGTCTCACTCCCGTCCTCTTTTCCTCGATTCTGACATCACCGAAAGAGACTTAACACCGAATTGGTATGTGGTGCTTTGTAGAATTTTGTTTGTCTTTTCGTCGTATTTGGTACGATTTTGTCTTTTCGACTTATGGGTTTTGATACTTGCTTTGTTATCTCCGTCTCTTTTTCTTAAAACAAATACATAGACCAGGACACAGAAATTTACAAAATAACCTGACATACCATTATCAAAACTCATGTAAAGGCTTTACAGACTGCCATTGTGGCAATGGTGATATAACATGTACCGATAGGTAAGCATATCCATAAGGTTAATATTGATTTAGCTGAACAAAACAGTTCATATAGGTTTTACTAGTTGATTTATTTACAGGAAAATTATGGCTGACGCATTTTACTGTTACTGGTAAATTCACTAGTCCTTTTAATGATAGAATTGAGAATTACTCGGCTCATTTACATAATAAATTCTACCAATTTTATTCTTTGAATGAATACAGTATTGAAAACCTAAATAATAAACTAAATTAAAAAGTCAGATTAACTAGACGTCATAAAACATTGCGTAACGCACCACGTTTAATACCAGAGTTTCTGTGCCAATTCAGACTATGAAAGTCAATTGCCTCAGCAATCACCGATGATGCGTTTATTGAAATATTTGTTTCCCAAATGGTTCAGCTTATAGTAGATTGATAACAAGACAAATAACTGACAAGATTTTATGAATGCTTAATATAGATTGATACAATCAAGCAAGACTTTTCATTTTTTAAGTAAGATAGTATGAAAACAGGAGATCTTCATCAAATAGATGTACGACAATAACGCTACTTATTATTACTATTATGAAAATTTCAAACACAAAACAAAAATGCGAAAAAAAAATCAGGATTGATAACAAATGATAACGTCCGTTGGTCGTTACTGAAAAGGGAAATATACAAAAACTGTACATTAAATGTAGCCTGTGATCCTAGCTCCCTGCTCGACAGTAGACGTACCGACCCGAAGAGGAGGCCTGACATTACATGTAGTTCTTTGAATTGAAATTAACGACAGAAGATAAATCCTCCGGTGATACTTTCACATTTGTTTTCATCCATCCATTTCTCAACACTTGTTTAGAATTGGCAGGTTTACTAAATATTTCAAGTATTTTGTCATAAAGAGAAATTTTTCTGTCGGACACAGAAAGTCCCATCCCGAATCTGTACAGAGCAACAGTTTTCCTATGAAAATATTGTCCGGGTCCTTCATTGTCAAAATCAAGAACAAGAATGGTTTTCAAGTTTCCCTGCATGAAACGATTCCATGCTAATATGTACTCCTGTCTGTAAAAAGCAGAATAAATACGATTCTTTGTATACATGTTGCTAGATTGGACAATTATTACGTATTTGCATTTATTAATATGTATCAAGATATTGTTTTCTCTTGTTTCACCTAATTCGGCATCTCGGCATGTGATGTAAGTCGAATACTCATGTATACGTAGAAAACGATCGAGATCATATACAAATTTTCGAACATCATCGTTCTCTCCATCATAGGATATGTAAAAATCTATTTCCTTGGGTGCAAATTGTTTCTTTGAACATTTCAAACGTTGTCTTAATATCAATATTTCAAAACGAAAATAGTAAACTAATGTTAAAACTCCTACTATTGAAGTTATAACTGAAAATGAAATCCAAGTTTTGAGTTCATGGTCGATGCTTTCAATGTCGCATTCAGCTTCATCTAAGTACTTTTCAATCGTAATGTTATTGCCTGAACAATACAATTTAT